GCCGAGACGTGCGTGCGGGCAATGGTTTGTCGATGGTCATCCTTGTCTATTTGATGCAGTTGGCGCAGGCCTCTGACTCGAGGTACTATGCACTGCAGCTGTCCGGTTCCACGCTGCGCTCGTCATCTCCTGGGCAGTGAAATTGAGTCTCACGTCATTTGTATTGTTTCGATTATCGCACGTGCTTGTCCAGAAAAGCCTGCAGGTGTTTGGTGTAGCCCACCGGTTCGGTCGCAAGGTGCGAGACGTGCGGCGACCGACCAAAGTTGACACTCGCCACGTCACTCCCGTGGGCGGTCGCGTCCTCGATGGCTGCTTGGACGCACTCGGCGCTCACAATTTCGTCCGCGCTCGAGTACAGAAAAAGCTTGGGAATGTGCGCCTGCTCGACAAAGTAGCGCCGCCAGTGCAAGCCAAAGACGTTGGCCGTGCGCGTCACGTACGGATACAAGGTCAATTGCACGAGGAAGGCGCGCATGCCCAGCGAGAGCCCGAGCGACGGCAAGTTGCCCGCACCTTTCCACGTCTCGAGGAGCGCCTCTGTCGTTGCCCGGCTCGGCGCCGAGTCGAACACCATCGCCGGCACACGAAATGCGCGCTGGGACGCGCGCAGATGGTCCTCAAAGCAGTACCACGACCGACACCCGCCGTTTGAGAGCATGTGCGGAATGAGCTCGAGCGACTCGGCGGGCGGCAGCAGGTCGTCGGTCGCCGTCGGGTGCACATTGGCGCCGTCGGTGAGGAAATCACCCTGGCTGCTCAGGAGCACGACAGCGTCGTAGCCCAGCTTGCGGTAGAGGTCGGCGTACTTGGTAACCGGGCGCGCCTTGGCGCCCATCCAGCCGCAGACGACGACGACGCGCTTCGTGCCCATTTTGAGGTGTGGTGCTGCATCAACCCTCGTCTGGCGGCCAATCACATCGTCCGACGGACGTGTGCGCACTGTGATTGGTGGAGGGTTGGCGCCACTTCCTTCCTGGCGAAGCCGGCCGTCGACGCGAGTTTGATTCGCGTGTAGTCATCACTACGCTGTGGTCTTAGCAAAGGAAGAATTAAAACGTTTATTCCCTTGGTTCTAAGCGCTCGACAAACGACCGAAGGTGTTGCGCCTAGCACGCGCTTCGGACGGTCGCGACACTGCATCTCGACGCCATCGGTACTGTACAGTCGTAGCTCACTGATTGGATACCGCCCGCTCGTTTTTGAGACTGAATGATCTCGACCTGTTCCCGGATTGCTTCGGCACCAGAATTTCTAGGGTTATCGACTGATGTAATAGCTCTTATCGACAAAAGCGTCGTAGTTCGTGTGCAGATTGCTACTGTGCTGTACGGGTTCCCATCATTTGGCTATTGGTACCGATAGCGTGCTCAGTACGTTCGTACATATCTGTAGCATCTAGCCCTCGCACAGCAGAACACTGTACAAGTCGTCTCTTGGTGAAGACGCGTCAGATGCATCAGATGCGTCTCTGCGCCATGCTCGTCTCTGCCGCTGGTGTCTCCTCGCACGCGCTGAACAAATACCAATGGTAGCGCTGCAGAATCACCACAATACGTGTTCCACCATCAGCAGACTACACAGTTTCACTGGTACAACGTTTAGCGAGAAGCTTAGTCTTCCTCATGCCAGCACCTGCTTGAAGAAGGACGCGACCACGGATGCGTACCGCTCCGGCGCATGTGTGTAGAGGGAGACGTGCTTGGCGAGGGCAAACTCTTCGACGACGACGCGCGAGCCTGCGTCCTTCGCGCGCGCAATCGCGGCCCGGATGTTGGTGGGAGAGACAACGCTGTCATGCGGCGAGAACAAGAAGAGCTTGGGCACGTGCGCTTGGTCGACCAAGTAGCGCTGCCAGTGCTGCTCGAACGCATCGTCGGAGCGCGAGAGGGTTGGGTACCACTTCATACCAATGAGCATAAGCCGCGTGAGGAAGCGCATGCGAAGCGTCGGCAGCTCGTCGGTCGCTGGCCACGCGTAGTCGGCGGCGTCCCGGACGTTGGTGCTGGGCGCCGAGTCAAATACCATCGCAGGCACCGTGTAGCGCTCATCGGCGTCGCGGAGAGAGCGCTCGACTGCGTACCACGACCGACACCCGCCGTTCGAGAGCATGTGCGGGATAAGCTCCAGCGTGTCGGCCGGCGACTGCTTGAGCGGCGTCAAGAGAGTGGCGACCGCGTTGCGGTGCAGGAAGCGCACCGGCTGGAGCAGGTCTGCGCCGCCGCTAAGGAGCACGACGGTGTCGCAGCCGAGCTGCTGATAGAGCTCAGCGTACTTGGCGACCGGCCGCGCCTTGGCGCCGAGCCAGCCGCAGACGACGACGACCCGCTTCGTGGTCATCGCGCACCTTGAGAAATCTTGCAGATGCGTCAACATTTCCGACGGACCAATCAGTGCACGTGGTGTCGATCGGCGTGATGTGATTGGTGCGTTTGGATCATATCTTCACAACCAAGGATCCAAAATCGTCTATCCGGAGAGTGTGCGATTTTCCAAATTACTCGACTAGCAACAGATCCATCTGGTCTACCCAATATAGGATACATGTCAAGATAGCAAGGGCTACATCGCCGATCGGTGGCGTCTTTGATCCCCTTGTGGTACTTGCATACCTGGTGCATGAAGAGAGTCGCAACTTCCTCCTTCTTCACGCAGGTGGCAGCGCAGGGTCATCCGACGTGTCCCGTGCGAACAGGCCAAAGCGACCCAAATACGTCAACCGTCTCGCACGCCTTGGTCATAGCAATGCGCTGAACCACTCGAGCTGTAGATGGTGGACCTTAAATGCAGAAGCGGCGCGTGTGCGGCAGTCACGGGCTGCGTCACGAACGCGTTGCAGAGTAGCCTCGGTCGGCTACCGCATCAGTACCAAGCGTTGCTCACGCGACTCTGTTTGGCTCGACTTCTGCACGGTACGGGCAAAGTTGGTGCTTGCTGCTTCCAGCGCCGCCGCCCTCTGCTGCAACACCACCGACGCCGCCAAGGGCCTCAAGAAGCGCCGGCTCGAGGAGCAGTGAACGCCTACGGCTGCGATGACCACCTCATGCCTGACGCGCCTTCGTACTCGCACCACCTATTGCGTGCAACGAGTATCTTTCGATTCCGTACAGTGTACACTGCAGTGTGATCCTCCCAGCAAACGGGGATGGCGGGGCCTTGTAGGTCACGCGACTGCGTCTACCTCTGGCGCCACGCTGCGCGCGCCGGCGATCGTGCCCGTCATCGGAGGGCTGGGTGTATGAGCATCGTTGGCGCCACGTTGGCCGATCATTGCGCGTCTGGTCCTTGCGATCGATGGCGTTGACTGCTGCCTTCAACAGTTGAAGGCCATCCACACCGCAGTTGGTAGCAGAACGCAATTCGCCTCGACCCAAGCACCGCCATGTCCTCTACGAAGCGCGTCGTCGTCGTGGTCTGCGGCTGGATGGGCGGCTCGCGGCGCTCGGTCGACAAGTACGCCGCCGTGTACACGCGGCTCGGCTACAAAGACGTCGTCGTTGTGCAAAACTCGATGCTCGACTTCTTCAAGCCGTCGGTCCACGCCGAGACGGCGGCGCGACTGCGGCAGCTCGGCAACGACTGCGCGTTCGTGCCGTACCTTGCTCTCGAAACGCGGATG